CCTCCCATCCCTTTTAAACAACTTCCATTCATTATTACATCATTAATTTATAATCTCCAATATTAATTAAAACAGGATATTTGTTGCAACATGGAATGTTGGTGGAAAATCTCCACCGAGTTACTTAAATCTCGAAGATTGGCTTCACACCGCACCTCCCGCCGATATTTACGTTCTCGGGTATTCTATAATTAGTTCTAATATATTACCATTTTCGTCCCCTCATTTCAAAATCCATGAACCAAACAGAGCCTTATATAACGATCCAATTTTGTCGTGTTTTTATAGCTTTCAAGAAATAGTCCCTTTGAACGCCGGAAACGTATTGGGCACGGAAGAGAAAGGCCCAGCAAGAAAATGGCAAGCACTCGTTCGAACATCTCTCAACAATCTTCCCAATCCGACCGACCAAGACTTCGAACAAGGGTCAAATCAAGATGGCAAAGACTCGTATTACTTGCACCGCCCTTCGTTGCAGTCGATGAGCCGCAGCATGAGAATGACGTCGCGGAGTGGCATTTCGACTACGCCTCGCGCCGCGAACCTCGACCGTCGGTTCAGTGTGTGCGATCGGGCGATCTACGGCCACAGATCGAGCGGCGATTCGTCCGATGATGACGATGGTGATTATCAAGATGGATCGAGAGATTCTTCTTACACACATCATTACTCGTCGCCCGTCTTTATTGAAGACAGAGATCCTAGGTTGTCTAGATACTGTCTGGTTGCTAGCAAGCAGATGGTTGGGATATTTCTCATGGTCTGGATAAAGAGTGATTTGAAAGAACATGTTCGAAATTTGAAGGTGTCTTGCGTCGGCAGAGGGTTGATGAGATATCTCGGAAACAAGGTATATATATATATATATATATATATATATATATATATATATATATGAACTTCTTAAAATTATTCAATTTCTTTTTTTAATTTTAAATTTTTTATATAATTTATTTCTGATACAGGGTTCGATTTCGATAAGCATGTCTTTGCACAAAACGAGCTTCTGCTTTGTTTGTAGTCATTTAAGCTCGGGGGAGAAGGACGGTGACGAGTTGCGAAGGAATGCTGATGTCATGGAAATTTTGCGGAAAACGAGGTTCCCGCAAAATCAGGCAGAGGGAGATTACGAGAGCTCTCCTCAAACAATTCTTGATCACGAGTATGAATTTTTCTCATCCATACATATTATTGATTTTCTTTAATTATTTCATTTGTTGTTTTTTTTTTTAATTTCTGTTCGTGTTTTTTTTTTCTCTTGCAGTCGAGTGATATGGCTTGGGGATTTGAACTACAGAATCGCGCTCGCTTATCGATCTGCAAAGGCTCTTGTCGAAATGCGAAACTGGAGAACTTTGCTAGAAAATGACCAGGTATTATTATATATGCAATTAATTAATTTTGTATTTTTTGTCGCCTTTTCTTTTTTATATATGTTGAAATAAATTGGACTTCAACTTTATAATAAACGCAGCTTCGGGTAGAGCAGAGTCACGGACGTGTTTTCGCAGGATGGAACGAAGGGAACATATATTTCCCTCCTACATATAAATATTCAAATAATTCAGACAGATACGCCGGCGAAAATACGCGCCCTAAAGGGAAACGAAGAACACCTGCATGGTAATTTTATTTTCCGATAAAATTCATACCCTTTTTATACATCACTTATCCCATTTTTTATCTTTCTTTTTTTTTTTTTTTGTGTAATGAAGGGTGTGATCGAGTATTATGGCCCGGTAAAGGTCCTAAACCAGTATCATATGTCCAAGGGGAGTCTAGGTTTCAGAATATAGGCCGGTGTACAGTGTGTTTCACGC